GATCAAAAAGGTGTTACCATATGGAACTGTAACTTTACTTGGCAAGGACGAAAAGACTTCACAGTGAATGGGCACAGACTGAAGCCATACATGGCAAGTGAGACCCTTGGAGATGATGTAGACATCAACCTTGAGGATCCTCCAAAAGAGTGATCAACCAAGGAAAGTCAAGCTAAGGATGTTAAACAAGCACACTTGGGAGGTATTCTATTGTTATCCTTGTACATATTATTGCATTTTACGTTTTTCTTTGTGTTTTTCTTTTGATAACAGGAGCAAGTGGGGTTTAAGGCAACTTGTTAGCTGAGTTGATGAATTTTCTGGCCTTTATCGGTCAACAGTATCGGTCTGGAATCACCGATATGCCTACATCGATCACCAGCAATGGTCTGAATTACCGATGGGAACTGAGTGAATGCTCCATCAGTCACTTGTATCGATCACCGGTGATCGATGTGAATGGGCATACAGCTTGGACAACTCCATCGATCGACAATATCGGTCAGGAGTGACCGATACGCCTCCATCGATGAACAGTATCAGTCTGGACTGACCGATACAGTCCTCCTTTCTGCCAAAACCTCTTATAAGGTACCTAACCCCTATCCTTTCTTTATGCATCCTTTTGAAATCATTTTTAGTTTGTTTTGTTCACCTCCTTCGAGCTCCTATTACACAAGGAACTGTGTAATTTAAGTGTGGGGGAGGCCATTGCATTTAACATTGTGTTTTATTTTCTTATTTTCTCTTTTGCATACTTGAGTCTGATGCATTCATGCATTCAACTATATGCACCAAAAATCCATAAATAATCAAAAAGATCATTTAGTTGCATTTGCATAACTGAGATTGAGTCTAGATGCATTTCATATATGTTTGCATACACTTGCATAGGGAGTAGATGAGAAACAATCGTCAAGGTGTTAATGTTTAAGTTGTTTTCAATGCTTTGGTTGTCTGTTGTTTGATTGCATTGTAGTAAGTTTGAAGTTAAAGCTGCACTATATCTTGACTACTTGCATTAATATTATTGTCTTATGCTGAAGCTTGCTTTGATTTGATGCCATCTCTGTTTATTAGAACCATAATCCCGACATTTAATTATCATATTTATGCATTGAGAGTGATCACATAGCTACCCATATACATACTTGGGTTATCTTCTTTCCTTTTTACCACTCTTGTTAACCCAAGTAGCTGATCCTCATCATTATGGGACAGTTAACTACACCCTAACCCAATCCTTCTTTCTAAGCCTAAACACTATTGTGAGAGTTATGAGGCCTTGCACTGCATTATTTTCGATTTTATCTTGGGAAAAAGTGTTAGGAATAAGGCTGGCAAGGAGAAGTTCTCTTGTAGACACCAGCTTGCATCTTGAGCTTGGTATTAGGTTAGAAGTTTGGGAAAGGGTAGTATAAGTGGTTTGGGTTTTACTGTTTATGTCTTTTAAAAAGAAGAGAAAGAAGTATGAAGGTGATAGTATGGGTGGAAGCAGGTAAGTTTATGGTTAAGTTTAAGGAAGAAAAAGCTCTTTGTGTTAAAGCAAAAGAAGGCGCCAACAACAAATAACAAGGCTTACAAAGGTCATCCCAAAAGGAGAATTCAGACCAAGCAATCCACCAAAGGTGATACAAATGGCGCCCATCCAAAAGAAATAGAGCAAGTTCCAACAAAGAGTCAACCACACAAGCAAAATGAAGAAGGAGTTTCCCCTAACATGAAGGAAGAAAAGATCAAGTGCTTTGGGAAAGGGTAGACTTAGGGGTTTCACTTAGGGGTTTAGAAGATAATTGGATCATCTTTGGGTAAAAGGGTAGAAGAAAGATTTGACTTACATGCATATATGTGGTTTTACCTTTAGCATTTTGCCTAAGATAGAGTCATTTCATTGAGTGGTCCCTTATGTCTTTAACCAATATCTGAATGAGATCATTTTCATCTCATGACCATGTCCCTTCAACCAAATGTGTTCACTTTACTTGCATAAACTTGATCCATTTGTTACCATTAATGAATATTAAAGAGTTTGATGATTTGAATGCTTGTGTAGGCTAAGCTAGAGTGCATTGTTTGCTATGATAGGTATGGCTAAGGCTTTTGAAGTAGAACAATATCTTTGCATCTTAGAATCTATAGCTAGAGCATTGATTCAATTTTTCCATTGACATCTTTAGTTTTGAGCTCCCACTTTCAAACCTCACTCTCTCATTTGTTCTTATTTGCTTGAGGACAAGCAAAAGGCAAGTGTGGGGGTGTTGATATCTCATACATTTACATCATTTAGGCTTGCATTTAGTTCACGTTTTGGTCTTCTTTTGCATGTTTTCTCACTCTTTAGTCCCATTTTCCTTTCTTTTTAGACTTAGGTTGCATTTAGGTTGTAGTTTGCATTCCTTATGCATTAAGGAGGTTTTAGGTACTTAAGAAGCTATTGGGAGCAAGGAGGAAGTGTGGGAATGGTTCAAGGAGTTAGCCAAGGCTGAGGAGACTATTCTGGCTTTCCATCGATCACAACACGAAGCCCATCAGACTATTCTGATTGATACAAGGAAGCAGAGGAATTGAAGATCCTATCGTTCAACCCTATCGGTCAAGGAGTCACCGATGGGAATCAAGCGGATGCTCCATCGGTCACATGTATCGGCCAAGACTGACCGATGAGATCCAGTAGAAGTCAATCGATTAAGCCTATCACTCAAGGAGTAACCTAGCGAATGCTCCATCGATCACACCTATCGATCACTGGTGACCGATACAGATCCAGACTGAAGACCACTTATTCACAATTTTGCCATTTTGCTTAGAATCCTATAAATATTGAAATCCCTAATTTTTGGGAACAAGTTTTTACCTAACAGTTCTTTCTTCTTTTGTTTTTGCTCTGATCTTGTAGCTTGAATCTTTGTTCCATTTCAATATAAGTTTGCATTTATCTTCTTGTTTAGTCTCCCTAATCATGATTAGCTGTATTTTTCTCTTTGGATTGATGGTTTTGATGGTGATTAGTGAGTAATGACTAAGGGATTTGAGATGGGTTAGGTTTAGAGAATTTGAGACTTGATCTATGGTTCCTTAGTGTTAATTCTTCCATTTCCTTTCTTGATTGCTGTGTTTAATGCCTAATTAGCCTTAGCTAAGTTGATTAGGATCTTAGGATCATTTTATGCCTACCAAGTGTTTGATGAATCGCCTGAACTGCTTTGCAAGAGAATTGCTTATCCTAGCTCAAGAGATTGACTGTCGAGGGAGTGATTTGGCAATATAAGAATGATATATTGTCTTAATGCTTGTTGTTTGTCATTTCACTAATGAGAATTAGTTCTTGACTTGATGATTAGCAAAGAGTTTAGTGCTAAGTGATTAGATTAGTCATATAAATGAATTCTATGCATAAGGAATAGCATTGTGTGAGTTTGTAAGCATCATAGGTTGAGTTTATAGTTCCCTAACAACAATTATCCTATCTCAAGTCTTGTATTTCCTCTGTTTTTAGTTCATTTCGAATTTTCTCTGTTTTTGCTTATGTTTTAGTTGATTTGCTTGCTGTTCACTCTTAGTTTGGTATTTGGTTCAGTTCTGTTTGATCACTTATGTTGTTAGACACATCAATCTTATCTATATCTGCTTGAATTAGGAAATCTACTGCATTCCTGCTGTTTCAATCTTGTCCTTTTGGATTGACATAAAACCCTTACTACAATGACTAATACAAAGGGTGATTGAGAAAGAGACTCAAAACTCTTGTATCATTCAGCTCCTTGACCTCCTTGATACACAACAAGGATAAGGTCTCCTTGAGCAAGAGAATAGGTGGCGCCTTCTGGATGGTAAGAGTATGAGGCGCCTTCTTGAGGGTGAGAGTTTGAGGTGCCTTCCTGATAAAGCAAGTTATGGGGGATGTAAAAGCCAATGTTGTCAAGGTTGGAGGAGGTGGTGAGATGCTGGTTTGGATGGAGAATCATTCCAACTGCCCCATCTTCTTGGATGAAGTTGTATATAAACTTGTTACCCACATCTCCCCCAAGGAATTTTTAGAGTTTTCAACATTTGACACATCTTGATCAAAAACCTGAGCAAGACAAAATCTTCACAGTTTAGCCAAGTTTAAAAATTTGCAGATAGTAGTATTGGCAACGCGTTTTAAAATACCTTTCCAGTGTTTTACACATCTGCTCTTTGTCTACTAGTATCACATTCCTTGTCCTTATTTTTGTTAGTTTGTAAACTATCTTGGAAAAGCATATTGGAATTCGGAATAGAGAAATGTGCAGTAGGCGATGAAACATGTAGAAGCACATCAACACAAACGAATTTGCAGTGAAATTCAAGTTTTACTCAACACATATAATAGAAACTATTTACAATAGTTTGCACCTGTGATTTTTCTTTTACACCACACTCTGCACCTTTGCGAAGACATATGTCATCTTTTCCATCAACAACACTTGTACTCATATCGTCGGCATGTTTTTGTTTAGTCTCAAGATTAACTTCTGTAACTTCATTGTATTCAACCATAAAATAAGAACCAACGAGTGTTATAAGAAATGAATTATCGAATACAAACAAGTTCTGTTTGTCAAAGATGAAAAATTTAAATTAGATAAATCATTACTGTCTTCAACAACATTTGTAGGTTCATTGTCGCCATGCTTTTCTGTATCTTCAACAATCACTTCTGTAGTTTCATTGTATCCAACAGAGCTACCATCTTTACTTGGGTTTCCCCCATGAACTTCCTCATCCGTTCGAAGGAAACCATCATTCTCATCATTATCAATGCCATGTTTTTGTGTACTGTCATTATCTGCAGCATAATCTTCATCCATACTATCTTGATGACGAGAATGATATGCTTGTATCATGGCTTACATTTGTATATGCTCCATCTTCAGGGATATTTACATTTGCCTATTAAAAAGAACCATTTAACATAATTTCAAAATCCCAAAGGTAAATAAAATTTATAAGGTTTAAATAGATACCTTTTTCACCTTTTATCTGCTATTCACATCTCTGCCTGCTCTAATCCTTAGAACATCCTCTAAGGTCTCCATTTTGCTTTTCAAGCTCTCAAACATCTTCATTATCTTATCAAGTTTCTCATTGTCAGTCATACAAGGAGTCATAAGAGGAGCCTCACCGGTTGTTCTTTTATTCTCTGCCTTTCTTGCATGCTGGATCCCTATTTTCTCAGATGCAATAATAATATCTACCCTTTGGTTTATCCAGTCGGTTCTGCTCAACCTATAACTTTGCTTTACTAGTTGCACAACCACTTCAAAGTCCTTGTCATTAGGATTTGGTGGAGGAACCAAATGTTGGTATTCCTCCAGATCTCCAACAATAGTATTGACCAAAATCTGCAAACGCAAAACAATTCCATTTATAAGATTTTATTAAATGGTAGATAACAATAACCTATAATACGAAATAGACTCACATTCGGTTGATTCTGCACATGAAAAACTTCTGAAGTCCTTGGACTACGAGTTCATTAACAATGTAAACAATAAGGTCCTGCAGACGAAGTTGTTTGAAAACTAGTTGCAAATGTAGTATTTAGCAAAGAAGCAGCCGACAAAGCCCATAAAGAGATTGCCCAAACGAATCCTTTTACTTTATACTGACCTTTTGCCCATGTATCTGCACTCGTCCTATGTATACTAGTCGATAGAATCTCATACCATATCTTCCCCCAAACACTTGATGAGTAAGTATCAAAATTCAGAAGCTTTTCCAATCTTGCTCGTGGGACTTTATACCTTGGATTGCCATCTATTATTATTCCCTCAGTCAAGATTGCAGATCCAAGAGAAAGCCTCTCCTCAACTCGCATAGTGTTCCCTTTAGCTTCCAGCGGTTCCATCAAAGGTTTCGTAGTGTACGTATCTTTTTTCCCAGCATCCAACCATACAGGTTTTTCACCCGCTTGTGTGTTGCTTCTCTTTGGGGTCGATTTCTTCTATCTCACAACGAAATCCCTTGGTTAGATAAAACACTCTCAAAGAAAACCTCATCGGTTGTTCTGCAAATGCAAACCACAAGTCTTCTCCTTGTGTCAAGATTCTTCTTTGCATCAGAAAATGGAACAGCTTCGCAGAAAACATAATGTCCTCCGTCTTCGCGAGTTTGACTATCGGGCTGAGATAAGAGTTTTCAATCACGACGAACTCTGATTTTCCTAACACCTTTTGACTTTATCCACATAATTTAAGCTTGAAAAGTGCATGATGACATCTAATTTTTCTTCTTTAGTATCGGACTAAACATGCATATTTTGCTTCTTCTTGTCCCCATTTGCATACATTTAGGAGTTAGTGTAGTTTTAGAAGCTGCATTGCATTTTGCATGCATTTGGAGTTTTATTTAGGTACTTGAAGGAGTGTGGAGGTCATGTGGAGCATTGGGTGTGAGCTGGGAATGGAGCAAGGCAAGAGACAAATGCGGATGAACCAATATCGATGATGATATCGATACCATGTGATCGATACGGAGCATATTGATGGGCATATCGACCACCACGACATCGGTACAGAAGATGCAAGGTGTGAAGGAAGCATATCGACTTAGCCACCTCGATGCAGCAGGATGGAGTCCATATCGAGCAGTGTATCAACGTCCCAAGACGGATACACATGACAGGGCAATATCGAGGTCCCGTATTAACTTGCTTGATCGATGAGCCTTAATTAAAGGGCGATTGTATCGACTTCACACCTTGGAGAGCCAAACCGATACAACTCAGAAGCCTTATCGACGTGCATATCGACCAAGAGGCATCGATACAGCCCATAAGATGAGAAGATATCAACTTGTGTATCGATATTCCATGTCGATATGGTCCATCCGAGTCAGCTTACTTTTGGTTTAATCTTGGTTTACTAGGGATTTTCTTGTTTCCCTATAAATACTAAAGTCCTAAAATGGTTAGAAAAGTTGGATCTTGTTATTTTTTTTCACTTAAAGTTTTTTTCTTTTCAACTTTGTTTTGTATGATCCTGCTTGATTTAGTGAATTTTTATATTTGCCTTTGATCTATTCTTCTTTAATATGCTTCCTAATCATGTTTGCTGTTGTTGTTAAGGTGGGTATACCTGATTGATAACAGGATTTTATTGATGCAAGCAGGAGGTTATCAAAACTCAAGCAACATATAGATGTAGTATAGTGTGCAAGAGGAATCAATCCAACCTAGGATGCAGGAAGAGCCACTAAGAATGCAAGGATGAAGCAAATCTAAGCAAAATGGATAAATAGTTGGTAAAATCAAGGAAAACTAAATGCAACGATCTAATGCAATGCAGAACAATTTTAAAATTCCTGGAAGAGGGTTAACTACCACTAGGAACAAGCAAAAGATTAAAAATGCAAAGCTACTAAGAACTAAAAATTGACCAGTGAATCGACCACTGGATCGAGCAGAATGGATCGATCTAACAAACAACTTAAAAGAAATGACTTCTACCGAACAGGATGCAACTTTATGATAAGAAAATGAATAACAGAGGTTTTAATATACTAAAGGAGGGTTAAGGGTTGACGGTCATGTTCAAGGGTCTGAAGGTTCAAGCTTTGGTTTGAAAACATTTAGATCTACTCACTTGTGAGGTTTCTCTAAGCCTCGAAAATAAAACAAGAACCATTCATGGCGTGTAGTATGGTTCACTTCCTCAATCTTTTCTCCAAACCCATGGCGTTTGGTGGAAAAAGAGATAGAAGAGCATGGAAAACATATTTTAAATAATGACCTAACTAATCCCCTTTATGGTACCCACTTTATTTGCAAGGGCGAGAATGCAATGAGGTTATCAAACTCAAATGCAAGACAGGTTGTAGTACAGCAAGCAAGAGAGAGTCAATCCACACCTAGGATGATAGATAATGCAAAGAGAATACAAGGACTAATGCAAATCTAAGCGAAACAAGATGAGTTATTAGAAAATCCCTAAAAACTAGATGCAGCAACTTAAATGGAATGCAACCTATTTTAAAATTACTAGGAATGATGAAACTATCATGAGGAACAAACAGAATAATTAAAGGACAAAGCTTCAAATTACTAAAATTCGACTAGTGGATCGACCATGAGATCGACCACTAGATCGAGCAATAACAATCGATCTCGTCTAAAAATGCAAGAACAGTAAAACTAATGACCAGGATGCTATCAAAGATCAAGCGAATGACGAGATAAGATGTAAAGATGCTAAAAGAAAGGGCCTAGGGTTGAGATTCATGGTCAGGGGTTTCAAAGGTTCGACCTTGGGTTGAAAACTTTAAATCGACTCACTTTGTGAGGATCTCTAAGCCTTGAAAACTAAGCAAGATCTATCTGTGGCTTTCGGTATAGATCACTCGTTCATCCCCTCCTCCAAACCCATGGCTTTTGGTGGAAAGAGAGGTCGAAGGGCATGGAAAACAGATTTCAAATAAGTGGCTTAACTAGTCCCCAAAACTTCCATGGCTTTTGGGAAGGGGTAACTAGTCTCTAGGGTGTGATCTTCCGAGGCTCCTGAATCCTGTCAAGGTAAGGAACCTCTCGGATCATGAAGCTCTTGGCATGAGAGTCTTCAAGCATTGAGCTCTCAACACCCTAGAAGAGATAGCCGTTGAAAACACTTAGAAAAACCCCAAGATCGAAACCCTTTAGACCCCTTAATCCTCTCAACCCCGATCCCAAATAAACTACTCACTACACATAAGGTAAATCAAGCAAAGCATGTAAAAGGAAACAATGAACATGAAAAGAAAACTAGATTAAGATGAAAACGATTCGATTACAAAGCTTAAGAAAAACTCAAGTTCGACAATGGTGTTCTTCGTCAAAACCAGAGAGAAAACATACAGAAAAAGATAAGGATTGAAAGTTGTGTGGGAAAAGGACGTCGCCGCCTTCCCAAAATGGCCAAAACAAGCTGATGGTCCCCCCTCGCTAGCGGCCAAAAGTGGTTGAAAGGACAGAGATCGACTCCAGGATCGAGCGGTTCTCTCGATCATATCCGGACATCGTGTCTTCAGCTCGATATGGGTCTCGATCATCATCGGCGAATCGAGTGTTGCATTCGATCTCGGTATCAATCTTCGGTTGGATCGAGTGGTGTACTCGATCTGGCTCTCGCTCTGCACGGCGTCATTCACGTCTGTACCGTTTGATCGACTGCTTCACTCGATCCTCGTCTCGATCATTCTCCATGGATCGCCTGGTTGGCTCGATCTTCTGGTCGATCACCTCCTAGATCGACTGGCCATGCTCGATCTGCTCCTCGATCTCTGATCCTTAGAAAATATCCGAGCTTCCACGAACTACTACAACAGCCTCAACATGTCCACGAACCTCCACGACTCCAAAGCAGCCAGAAACAACCTAAATGTGATGCAAAATGCAAGGAACATGCGTATGCTGGTGCAAGAATGCTCTAGGACTCTAAGTGATGCAATCTAACCTAAAATGTGATACAAATGCATGAAAAGCTAACTAATGAGTATGCAAAATGTATGTAATATGCAGTAACATCAACTCCCTCAAACTTACTTCTTGCTTGCCCTCAAGCAACAGAAAATAAGTAAGGAAGAGAGGTTTTCAGAAAAACGAATGGGGGTTTACACTTCTTGCAAAGGTGCCTTTCAAATGAATCAATCTCAATGTCCTAGTTAACAGTTCTAAAATGATATGCTTACACTCATACTCCAAAGAACTTAGCCATACTCATCACACAAAGAAATTCAAATCATGACTCTCCTATTCCTAACAATCAAAGAAACTCATCCTTTAACATTCATTAATATTAGAACCATGAATCAAACTTATGCATTTTAAAGCAAAACACATTTGGCTAAGGGTGAAGGTTATAAGCATTGAATGATCTCATTTGAAAAGAGTTTATAATTAGAACAAGAGTTTCTCTCAAAAATGGTTGAACTTATGCATAATGCTAAAGATAAAGACAATTGATGCATACATGATTAGATTCTCATCTACCCATGTAAACTAACAAATGATCATAAACCCCTCTCATTTAACAACTTTTATCCTCACTCACCACTTAGAGTCTACCCTTTTTCTTCACAAAACTTAGGAATCCCCAATTCGAAACAAAAACATTATTAAACTCTTAAGGCTAGTGAAAAGGTTTTAAAAATAACTTTGCTCTTTAAATATTTCTTATTGGTAGCTCTCTTATTATTTTTTTCTTTTCTCTCTTCTTTTTTTTTCTTTTTATTTTTATTTGGCACTTAGGCTCTTTTATTTCTTTTTCTTTTTTCTTTTATTTATTTTTTTTTTATTGGGAGAGCTACCTCCTGAAATTTAATAGAGCATATACTTAGTTTTTAAACATAACCTTTCACTTAAAACCCATTTCTTTCTTTAAAACACCAAACTCCTTGAAACCGAGATCAAATAGATGAAAACAACCCCAATGATCCCCCAAACTTATCCTAAGTCTATACCTAGCTTCAAAATGCAAAACTAGCAATCATATGAGAACCAAATCATGTCGCCTAAACCTAACACTTTATGCCAAGTTCAAACCGAAAGGAAGGCCTCACAATGATGTCACACCAGAACATTTGGCTTCAAAGAAGGGTAAAGTTCAAGGTGGGAGTTCTACTTAGGCTCACAAAGAGTGGTAAAAAGGAAAAAGAGAGCCTAAATATTTTAAAACCATGTGTTCATTTTCAAATGCATAAGGATGATAATTAGAATTTCAAATTAAGGTTCTCACTTATTAGGATAAGTTTCAAATCATGAGAATTCAATTCAAGCCACGAAAATCCTAACAAGTGATCCAAGCATGGTAAGAACTTACTTTCAAAGCATAGACAAAGCATTAGAGAACTACTAACTAGGGCATTGAAACAATTCAT